GTTAAACATTAATATTTTACCTTTTAGTCAATTTAGCATTTAATACCCAGCAAATATTTATTCAGATATAAACCTGCTTTCTATTTTTCTCAGTCCATTTTGATAACTATTTTATTATTTATTTACTTCATTATTTAAAGAATATCATTGTGGTTCCAAGTTCAATGAATGAAGGTTTCAGACAGGCAAGTTTTGAGTTCTAGCCTCAACTTTGAGCTTTTATTCTTCTAGACTTCCAGGTGGAACCTGGATCCTAGTTAATGAAGTGTTTCTAGAACTTCTACTAGCTAGTGTTGTTTGCTTGATTATTAATTTAAGTCTTGTTATTGTTGCAAACAGGGTAACTCCCTGAGATTGAGATTAGAAGCACTCTTGCTCCCTAGAACCTTCTAACTATATCCACACATCACCAGTGATTTTTATCCCCCCACCACATCGCACACCCCCTCCCCACCCCTGCCCACCACTCCTTCCCCATCCAAATTGCCCTTGTGATACATATTCTCTTCCAGGCCACATGGCCCTAGACCATGAATAGGCCTAGAATAAGGATAAGATAAATTTCTTTTTTATTACATTTTAAAGATATCTATTTTGAGAGAGAGAGAGAGTGGAGGAGGAGCAGAGAGAGTGATAAAGAGAGAATCCCAAGCAGGCTCCACACTGTCAGCATGAAGCGCGACACGGGGCTCGATTGCCTGAACCCGTGAGATCATGACCGGATCCGAAATCAAGAGTTGGACCTTTAACTGACTGAGCCACCCCGTTGCCCTGGATAGGATAAATTTCTCTAAGAACGCAGCGTACCCCATAGTGACAGTGTGATTTTGTTTTTCCACAAAGCCTGCAATGTCATTTCCCAGACCCCAAATGGAAGGTTTACCCTGGTAGTTCCGCATCTGCATCGAAACTGCAGCTTCTCCATAATTTATCCTGTGGTCATCAAAATATCTGATCTCACCCTGGGACGCTTAAATGGTTTGCAGTCAAAGGTGAGTTGCTTTCTTACTTCCCATCATTTATGAAGGCCATAGCTTTGTCAGAGGAGGGAGAATCGTACAGGGCAAACGTGGACATTAGTCAACTATGGGACTATGCTCTTCTGTTGACTTAGTCCCACATCCGCTTGCCCTGACTGCTTTGATGAAAGCCCCCTTCTATTTCCCTCACGCTGCACAGTGCACACTCAGGTGCCCTTCTGATTACTTGACTACTTTTCTTGTGATGTAAGAAACGTTTTCAATTGGGAAAGTTGTGGCATATAATTACAATTGAACTCTCTTATACTTGCCTCTTTTACAGAAATTCTCTCCTAGCGGAACGTAGTGTGAGTCATCTACACAGCTGTTTTTCTGATTATCGGATTTTTTTTATGACATGAAGGAAGTGTCTCATTGACAGAACTGTGTTATGAAGGAATGCTAAGTGTAGCATAAAATACAAAATTGGATTTTTAAGTTGCAAAATACAGTAGAGTTTTGAAGATTTTGTTGCATCATGTTTAATTCAATTCATTTTGCATGAAAATATTAGCTGAGAATCTCCATCAACCTATATTGCCATGAATTTCTGTATGGACTTTACAATTACTATTGAACTTGACCTTTATTTGGTTTTGTTTGGTTTTGGTTTTTTGCACCGTTAGCTTCTTCCCTCTGGGTCATTCTCATTTCTTTTTACTTTCTTATATTCCTAGGTTAAAATAGCTCATATATTTGCTGACATCAAAGGCAGTCATTGTTCCTAATTAGGTAGATTTCAGTGAAAACCAAATAAATAGGACCAGGACTGAAAATAGGTGTATATTTAATTTCCTTTAAGCCCTGAATTCATGAGCTTGTGCCTGTTTTTTGTTGTTGCTGTTGTTTTGTTTCGTTTTTGTTTGTTTTTTAGTTGGACCTTAGTGGAAGAATGATCCTTTGATAAAGACCAGAATAAGCAGATATCTTTGGCATAGCCCTCTTGTCCTGAGATCACTTACACGTTATTCCTGATGTATACTGTAGAAGATGGCAAGCCCGATTGCAGGTTGGGGGATCTACACTTTGGTTATTCTAGGCTGTGAGGAGTAATTTTGGTATTTCCCCTCGAAAAATGTTAAAGTCTTCAGTGTTCTAGGCATCTATCTATTCCTTTACGAAATATTTTTTGGGCACTTTCCATGTGGAAGTCACTATCTTAGATGCTGGAAATGAGCGACGAGCAACACAGCTCCTACTCGCAGGGAACCTACATTCTAGGGGCTTGAGCTCAGCAACAATGCAGTGCATTTGCAATAGCGGTGAGTGCCCTACTCTGTAGGCAGAGTGGTGTGATAGACAAGGCAGTAGAGGAAGAGGCGGGAACTCCTTGAGATAAGGTGGTCAGGAAAGGAAACTTCTGAGAAGGAGACATTTAAAGTAAAAAGTGAGTGACAGATAAGAAGGAGCCAGCAGCCGGAGAACCAGGAACAGAGGGGACAGTAGTGCAGAGGCTCAGAGGGAGGAGTGGACTCCCAGAAATAAAAAGAAAGAAAAGTACGAGGAAGGGGGGGATATGAGACGACATCAGGGAGATGGGCAGAGCCAGGGTGTGGAGAGCCCAGCAGGTCATATTAAGGATTTGGAGTTTATTCTAAGTGCAGCGGAAACCACTGAAAGGGCCCAGACGGGGAAGCGACATAATCCATTGGATGATGCTCAAATGGAATGAGGGTGGCTGGGAATTGCTGACTTCATGACCAAATTAATTAACAAGGTCCAAGGCAGGAGGGAGAGGATTGATTACCTCAAGGCCATTCTGGCTTTGCTGGGCTGTGGGGGCCACAGTGGTACAAGGAGTGCCCCTAAGGGCCATTGTCACAGTCTAGGCAAGAGATGACTGTGACTTAGTCTAAGGGGGCAGAACCTCGACAGAGAAACCTAGGGGGTCCCTCCTGGGGAGCTGCACACAAAAGGGTGGTGTAGTACTTCTCATGCCTAAGAATAGCTGCAAGGTTTGGGAAGAAGAGAGAAAAGTCGTTGAATGTCAAGGAACAGTCATGTCTAACTTCTTTGTTTATTTGTTTGGTTTCCCTCATTTAGTACTTACTTCGTTCCCCTTGCCCCCCACTTCCCATTTCTCTCTCAGGGGCTTGCCTTTTCCCCTTCACCACCTCCTGCTGAAATTTAGAACTTAAAGAACCAAATGGTAAGTTTAGTCTTAACAGAAGTTCCCCCTGGACATCCTCTCCTCAAGGGAAAGGCAGTTAAGGTTTTTTTCTTCACCTCTTATTCAGCTATTCATACAAGAACATAAGCCCTGTCCACAGCGGGGGGCTAGTTAAGCCTCTCTTTCATTATTGGATAAAATGATGTGTACAGCATCAAAGCAGAGGACGCAGTAGGCACTTAAAAAATGTGTGTCCTCACCTGCTTCCTTGTATTGGCCAAGCAGTTGGTATTCTATTATTTTCTACTTGATCGATTAGTTCTAGTTGCATCTCAATGTCTTCCGCACGTTTGAATGTGTGTGTTTGTGTGTGTGTGTGTGTGTTTAACATTGTCTTAGATGTTGTTCTGTATGTGGCAGTGTCTGTCTCGCTCACTTCTGAGTACTTTGCCCCTCTGCACTGGATCTCTCGATGAGTATGCCTCAGTAAAGAAGAGGATCACAGACAAAACTGGATGTGTAATTGTGGGGGACAGTGCAAAATGAAAATGTGGGGGGTTCTTATTTTAGAAGTATTAAGAGTTTCAAGATGGTGATAGCAGAGCATTAAGCCAAGCAACAGGCCCTTGTATGGCTCTGTGGGCACAAGTCGCATGCCCACAAAGGCCAGCAGCCCTGGCCTCATGAGATAGGTAGGCCAAAGTACAACATTTGTGACTGAGAGTGGCTGTTTTATTTGTGTGGGAAAAGTAAAGTGCAGGAAGTGCTGTGGACATGGCAGTGTGGACAGGCAGTGTGGACAAGGCAGTGTGGATAGGCAGTGAAGACAGGCAGTGTGGACAGGCAGTGTAGACAAGGCAGTGTGAATGTGGACAAAACAGTGTGGATAGGCAGTGTAGACAAGGCAGTGTGGACAAAGCAGTGTGAATAGGCAGTGTGGACAGGCATTGTAGACAAAGCAGTGTGGACAAGGCAGTGTGAATAGGCAGTATGGGCAGGCAGTGTAGACAAGGCATTGTGGACAAAACAGTGTGAATAGGCACTGTAGACAAGGCAGTATGGACAAGGCAAGTGTGGATAGGCAGTGTGGATAGGCGGTGTGGACAAAGTAGTGTGGAAAGGAAGAAGGGAAGCAGAAAGCAGTTGTTACAGTGCATTGTACAAAACGTCTAAGAATACGTTCTGGTTTTGAGTAGCTCAAAATAAATTAGTTTTAGTTGGGAAGAGAAAGACAATGGTGGCTCAAGCTAGCTCAACCCAAATTAGGGTTCTCCTCTTTCTTTGGCATTCTTATAACGAATCTAAATGCTTGTCAATAGAAATGATAAGGATCATCCCAATAGCAGGAAAAGTCCTTTATAAAGAAGAGGGAAAAAGGTGAGTTGAAGGAAAAACTGATGTGAAAGACCTATCTATTAATAGAAATTCTGACTGCATGTGTTAGCAAATTTAAATAATCCCGTATGTATGTCCAAATGATTTACAGAGCAAAGCATTTTCAGATTCGATTTTCATTCATTTTATGTGGAGTTTACAGATTCCCATTGCATCATCCCAGCCCTTGAGCTGATAAATTTTTTTTAATGCACACATTTTTAAAGAAATGATGACTCAACTGATTTAGAAGAGCAGTTCTTAGGATTTTTTTTTCTTTTAAATGTCTTTTAATTTCCGGAGTCCTGGATGTTAAATCAAATGGCCCTGCCAGGATGTCCAAGGCGGATGGAGTAAATTCACCAACATGCAATTGGTCAGATGGTTTGACTTCCATAACTGGTTGAAATACACCTTTCTCTGCTGCTTGATTCTTTTAGAACCCCTCAGCCGGCTGTGGGGGAATAGGAGACTTTGTAGAGCTGCTGGGAGGAACTGGACTGGACCCTTCCAAGATGGTGCCTTTGGCTGACCTCTGCTATTCCTTTCACGGCCCTGGTGAGATGTGTCTTTGATTACTATTTATGCGCCTGTCAAAATTCCTTAAATAAAACTGACACTTCCTTCAACCAAACATCTCAAGTTTTTTATACTTGGGAAGGCAAGTTTCACCCAGAAAGCTTCCATTTTGTACATTGAGCCAATGTAAGGATTTTACATTCGAGCATACATATGGTGAATGGATTATCCAAATAGCTGACACTGGGAAAGAAACCTCTGAAGGAACACAGGTGCATGTTTAAGGTTGGCCCCGAGGAAGACCATGTAAAAGACAAAGCTTTTTTGTTCTGTGCTCTTTCCACCTTCTCGAAGGTCCCTGCTTTTGTCCTCTGAGACGAAAGAGTAACCAAAGAGGTTACTAACTAAAAACTATAGTTCAAATAGATATACCATTGATTAGTAATAATGTGATAATAAAGTCATATCTAAATAACTTTCCTATATATGTGTGTATGTGTGTATTACTCACAGTACATAAATTAAAAAGTAATATGCTTATTAGAAATTCTCAGAACTGGTGAAATTCTCAGAACTGCCCCAACTTCTAGGAGCAAAACCAGCCTCTGAAAGACCACTGCAAAAGCAGAAATACATTCTAAAACCTAAAAGTGGTCACTGCAGGTCAGTGCACAGCAGGCCATACAGAACTAGATATTCTTTGTTAGGGATCAGTGAAGATTTTCCATTTGATTATGCTCAGGTATGGTGAGGGTGGCTAGAAATTGCTGGTTCAAACCATCAGTATATGTGGCTTTTCTCACCTCTTACTATGTTCTCTGCGGCACTGGATTCTTCCCTGCAGGAGGGCACCTGTGAGGAGATGCATTTGTACTAAGTAAGAAGAGTAGATTAAGGTCTAAAGAATACTCTTGCCTTAAAATGTAGGTAATTAAAGCCAGAGTAATTTTGGTGCAGTTATGTCTAATAAGAAATTTGATGCACATTAACAAAGGAAAAAGAGCATGTTACATATATTAAAGTTTAGAGTAAGATCAGAAAAAGAAGGACCTTTTAAATCATTTAAAACAAATCAAATTTGGACCCCTCATAGAAGCTTAACCTAGACTCCCTGGTGCTTATGTAAATATAAGTATAGGTTTTATATTTATTATGTCTCTAAATTGGATTTTGCCTCAATAAGTCTCTAGCTGTTTCACTTCATTTGAACCCAGGCACAGGTTTCTGAAGTACCTGTTATGCAATGGTAATATTCATATTTCTCAGAATGATGTAGGCCTTATAGAGAGACAAAGTAGGGGGAAAGATGAACAAAATTAAATAGCAGAAAAAATTATCATAGGGCAGATAAATCTTGCCTCGGGGACCAGCTTGACAGTGGAGAAATGAAAGAAAATTTAGATAAAAATAGTATGATTTTCAATATATAATTGTTGGTCACATCTGCACTAGAAGATAGACATAAATGTTGCCAGATACTTATACAAATAATGAATAAAATTGGATTTAAGAGAAGGATATCAAAAGCCATTCCACGTAAGAAGCACAGAAAAAATGAGACTGAAAAGGTGTAGGTGAATAAGAGAACAAACACATGTATATTCATGTATAGCTAAACTATGCAGATTATTTTTGTTTATATAAAAAAGAGTGTTGCGTAGGCTCAGAAAATAATAAACAGGTGATTTTTGTTTAGTCTACATAAAGTTCACCGGTACCCTCTGTCCTCTAGCCCTGTCCACTAACTGCCACTTGCATCCTCAGATGCTATGACAACGAAAAACTACCCCTGCAAATTTCCAACCTGTCCCTAGAGGACGGTACTGCCTCTGCTGAGAACACTGAGCTAGAGTAGAGGTGTGGGGTAGACAGATTGCCTTCACTGCCTTTACCACGGAAGTCTCGAAGGTAGGAGAGTGAAAAGTGCAAAGAGACATCTTATTGCCTCTGCTAAATAACAAAAATTCAAACTGAGTAAATTTTCAAGATTTCATTGGCTTTACAAACTAATTCATGAATCAGGGCAGCCATCCATCTGGCAAGTAGAAGGGTCTCCAACGCGTTGTACAAAACGGAAAGTTTTTATAGGAAGGAAGGACAAGAAATCTGGCAAAAGAAAAGGAATGTCCAGGCAGGTCGCTTTCCCTGAGGAGGAAAAGCAAGGTGTCTTATCCTGCAGATTATCTCGTCTTCCTTCTGGGGGATGGAGAGGGCCCCCATGGTAGACTCTTTGACACTGAAGGAAAAATTCCTGACTGACTGGTTAAGGCTGTCTTTCTGGGGGAGGTTGAAATTACAATTAAAGTAGGTATTAAGCCCCAGTTTGGGACCTTGGTCTAAGGGACACCATTTTGGGCCTGCGATTTTCTTTTTAACTCCTCTTTCCAGCCAGTTTTATATGGCTAACAGTGTTTTTGCCCATGAGGAGAATTGAGTTCAATCGCAGCATTCTACAATTAATTATACATTGTAATAAAAATGAAAACAAAATGTTTTCCCTGATGGCAGCTGCGTGGTTTGAGTATGTGGGAGGAAGATACAGCCCCTTGCTTTCTTTGTGTTTAAATGATCTTATCCACAGGAATGGTTTCTAACCTGCAGGGAAACTTTTACTTTTTCCATGAATTATAGCCCAAATGAAAATTGGCTGTGACAACACGGTGGTGCGCATGGTCTCCAGCGGAAAGCACATAAATCGTGTGACTTTTGAGTACCGCCAGCTGGAACCGTATGAACTGGAAAACCCAAATGGAAACAGTATCCAAGAAATCTGTTTGTCTACTCTTTGAGTAAACAACCCAATGATTTACATGCTGCTAGCTAAGTGAGTTTTTAATGGCTATTATATTTGATTTTGATGACCAGCTAGGTAAGAGCCTTTCATACCAGTCAGTATTCCCAAGCTTGAACACACATTACACATATACACACACACATACGTAGACACATACATGTGCGTGCAAGCATGCATTTATTTTTGTACCTTGTTTCTTTTTCATTTGTAATGGATAGAGGACCATGTTAAGCCCTCCTTTGCCTTGGTAGTAAAACAGTTTTCTGTGATTCTTTGGTATGCTACAAACCTGCACTGGTAAGACAAGTGCAACGCAATGGGCACTAAAAAATTGTATCTCAAGGGAAAATACAACAAAGATATAAAAATGGCAGTGTTCAGATCAGTCTTAGATCAGAAAACAATTAAATGTATGTATACCAAAGTAGTTGTATTTGTTTATTTTCTGTATATTATTCTGTTTACAATAGATAATAGTTGTAGCTATTATTTATTGATTTGTAACATCTTGTTTCTAACAAAACTCTGGAGCATGGAAAAAATTTTTCCATCCACAAATAGAAACATGAATAAATACATCAGAATGTTGGCGCCTTGACATTGTGCTTTGTTTTCCTGAGTAGCCCCCTCCCTTATTACCATCAGAAAATAATGTTCTCATGTGATGGAGAACCTAGTGCTGAGCTACATCATGTCAGGTGTACTTGCGGTAGTAGAACTCTGGGCCTCTAGAGCAGAATGACTTAGAGCAGAAGGCAGAACTGCACTGTTTGCTCACGCAACGCTGACTGGTCCTGATAGGGAAGCAAGATGCAGGAGTCCCTTTTCCACTGTCCAAGAAAACTGGGAATTCATGTTTTTGTCACAATGGGGTGGAGTTCTTAACAAGGACAACTTTCATAAATGTTTGGAGAAATCTGAGGACTTCTTTGGGACTAAGGGCAATTTACTGTTGGCTTAAGACTTGTCCATGCTTGGCCGGGGACTAAGCATGTGGTCTGTAAAAGACAGGCTGGGGCCAGAACTGAAGTCCTGAGCAAAAGAGGAAATACTCCTAAGTGAACTCTTTATTTTGGATTAATGGATGGAAGGTGCAAATGATACTGTACTTAATGGCCTGATTATGATTCCCAAAACATATTTTTTAATTTTCTTAATGTTTATTTATTTTTGAGAGAGAGAGCGCTACTAGGGGAGGGTCAGAGAGAGAGGGAGACACAGGATCTGAAGCAGGCTCCAGGCTCTGAGCTGTCAGCACAGAGCCGCCCGTAGCCAGGCTCAAACCTACCAACTGTGAGATCATGACCTGAGCTGAACTCGGACACTTAACCAACTGAGCCACTCGGCGCCCCTTGAAATATATTTAATATAAAGGCCATTTTCTAATGAAATGTGCTGGAATCTCATACACTGGGCTTGTTAACAAAATTTGAAAACCAGGCAGAAAGAAAACTACTGAATGAAGGTGCTAAAAATACCCAGGATTTGGCACAGATTTTGGCTCAGTAGATATTTTGGAATGAGTAAATACTTGAGCAAATGAATGAATGAATGCTTGAATGGATAAATGATTGGATGGATGAATAAATGGTAGTATAAAGGCGGGGATGAATGAATAAATGCCTGAATGGATAGAATTCCTGGTTAGTTACATAAGACATTGGATTCCTTATTTCATAGGAAATGAATTCTCTGAAGTTAAACCCTTTTCTTTTTCACAGTCCCTTTAGCAACATAAGAATGAGTGCAGTCACATCACTACTTACAGTTTCTGGCTTTTAATCCCTATATCCCCTTATGCTGAATACAGAAAATGGTCTGAGGTAAGGAGGCAAGTATTTTACCATGGAGCTTTGGACCACCGGCTTTTATTCCTCAGGGACAACTTGCAAGCTAGTCAACCTCCTGCATTAAAATGGGTGGACTCTGTTGGCCCTTCTAACCCTGATAATCTGCAGTCATTCATTTGTGGCATATTTTACTTCAGAGCTTATCACTGCAACCGAGCACACATTTTTTGAGAGGACAGCCCCTCCAGTGACCTGCCCAAAATATTCTTTGGATATCGTGACTTAGTCTGCATTCCAAAAGGATGGGGCCGTTTTTCTGGAAACAATGGGAGATGGGATCTCAGGGAGAGAGTTACATGGTGTGTCCTCACTGGCACCTTCACTAAGTGAGTAAACGCTATCTGAAATTCTGGCCAATTTTGTTGTTGTAAGAAAGGCAGTATGCACAGTGCTTAAGGTCGTTGACTCTGGAGCCAGACTTCTTAGAATCCCGGCTCTGCCACTCACTTGAGCAAGTTACATGTAAGTCAAGCTGCTCAGTTTTTAATCTGTAAAATTGGGGTAATAAAGGTACCTCTTTCAAATAAACATTTCTGTCAAGATTAAGTGGCTAAATATGTGTAAAGCCCAAGAGCAACATCTTACACATGTCAGCTGCTACTTTTATTATTTATTACTTATAAGCAAATATGCCACCCCGGGTCCTCTATACTCTAAGAGAAGCATTGGCTCTGTTCTCTGAAGGGTTTGTGCTGATCCATTGCTCTTTACATCCCAGGACATTTGTGAGGAAATGAGGGTTAATTTGGGTTATTGTCTGTGCCTGGGAAGCAAGAGTATAAAGTTACTGGTAGCATGTGAGGGTGGACCATGTCAGGTCTTAACAGGTTCGACTATCTCCTTAGAGTTGATCCCAGTCTGGACGTTCTGCTCATGAAGGAGTCACCTCACAAGCAATCTGTCTTGACTCTCCCTTTGTGTACAGCCCTCATCTCTGTGGTGTAGGCGGCCTGCTCTTGGCTGTCTCACTTCAGGTCTCCCCAGAACCTCCTCTTACCCTCCACTCCTACCCCTGCTTCTTCCTGAGTACTAGTTAGGTGACTCAGGCTCTCCTGCTGATCCCTGAATTCCCAAGTCCCGCCTCCCTCCATGCCTGACATTTTGAGCATTTGCCCTCCTAAGTTTTACGTCGCTGTGCCTGTCCTATCCTCTGGACACTTTTCTGCTTCCTGCCTCTTTTGCCCACTATTGTTGAGAGACGTTGGTCA